TCAATTTTTAGGATATTTTTCAATGAATTAATGGCACATCGACTTTCTTTTGTTTTAAACCGCATTTTTTATAATATATAAAAATTAATTAATTAATGTTTGACTTTGACGTTGGAATCAAACCTCTGGAATTGAATCGAATGTTGCGGTTTCCTGAAGGGGAATTTTTTTGAGTATAGTATGAGCTGAAAAATCATCAAAATTAATCGATTTAAAATCGATTTTTGGGTAGTAAAAATATCGAAAAATTTCATACTTTTGTAGTTGTACTACAAAGGGGTTAATAACTCGATTGTTAAGGGTTTGATGATTTTAGAATATTCTAAATAAAATTCTCTTATCAAAATATATGAAAAATAAACTAAATCATTATTAAATAATAGTCTTATACTCATTATGTTTCAAAAGAAGAACCTGTAACTAATTAATACAAATTAAAACCACATTTTAAGGTCTTCTTTCATCGACTACACCTTTCTCTCTCCCAAAAAGCAAACAACAAACTTACACAAAAATCCCCATTTTGATAGACCACAAAGCCTCATCGATATTGATTTACAACAACAGTTATCAGAGATTGTTTTGCCACAGAATTGGCCAGAAATGAGGCTTAATTTTGCGACAGGGCCAACTGTCACCAGTCACCCGTCGCCAGTCCTCACTAAGGTTTCCCTTTGGATTCCGCTTGCTGACACTTGAGCACAAGAACCTCGGTAAATCACATGAGCAGAAAGCCAGGCCAATAAGCAGTCAGTTAGCTGCAACTGGTAACATGAACCCAAAAAAAAAAAAAAACGGGGGGACAAAACCAGGGGAGCTTGGCCAAATCGACGCCAGAACAAATTGAGCAGAAAACCAGAAGGCGCCAGTTCGAGGGAACTCGGAGAGTGGTAGTATGAGTAAGGAGTAGGAATCCTTTTGGGCCATGGTATTTTGACACTTGCCACTCAGCCAAGCAGAGCAACAACAGTTATTCGGGCTTATAATGAATATGAGCAACACACCGAAGGTCATCCAGAGCTGCCAAAGAGAAGTCCTTCAAGGTCCTGTCCCTGTCCATTCGGTGACATGTGGCGCCAAGTAGACAGAAACCGAGAAAAAACCAAAGCAATTTCCGGACCCGGCAACAAGCAGGAAATTCTAGCTGAAAAGACAGATAAATTCCAAACTTTACTTTGATGCCCGGAGACTCTAATGAAGACAGCAACAAAATGTCTTTTACCTTAATGAATGACAGTTCAGGGTAATGGCCAAAGGTGGGGAAATTTTTTGAATGGAATGGAGTGTATATTCGGGACAGGACTAAGCTAGACCAAGACGAGCTCTTTGACTCATTAAAAAATTAGAATTCGAGACGAGCTATATTATTCTTTAGCTGCTGATACTCTATGGAAAGCTTACATAATTGGGTACATTGACTTGGGTATAAAGGTTGCTTATCCAAAATTTTCTGATTGATTCCTGAAGGTTTAAACACATTTTAAATGTAACTTTCTTTTAAAGAATTAGGCTGATTAATTTCTAAAGGTTTTAAAATATGTTTAGTGTCACTTGCATTAAAAAAAGTTAAGCACCTTCCTTTATTTTACCAAAGGAAACTTATTACTTATTTGTATTATTTTTTTTAATACTTAAAAAAGCAGTTAAGCATTTAAAAATAGTAACCAAGGCTGCAAAAATTTATTATATATTATATTACATATTATTATATTTACCTTAATTACATTTATATTCTCTAAAAATTCTTTGAAAAATTATAGTATGTCAGCAAAGTATTTATAACATATTTAAAATTGTTATTTTTGCAGAAACACTATTTTAACATTAGATAATGTCATATTCTCTAAAAATTCGATGTAAAAATATATAAAGTCTGTAAATAAGTATTCATATAAATGAACTTTATTTTCTCTCAACAATTCTCAATATAAATATATCTTTATATAATGTTCCTTTCTTTTTTATCTATTTTTAATTTTTTAATACCAAAAAAGGTATTCTTTCTTCGACCTTAATATAAACTTAATTCTTTCTGCTTAATTTTTTTCAGTTTTATCCATTTCCTTTTGAGCTAAAATCAACAACAATTTTTAATTTCATTTTTCAAACGTCGCTTTGATACCTGCACCCCGAATTAACACCCCCAAAACCCCTCAGATCCATCACACCTCCCCCAAAAAAATATATAGAAAAAAATTCAAAATCCAAGGCTAGAGCTGGAATTTCCAGCTGATGGACTGATGAACTGATGGATTGAATGGCTGACTGAATGACTGACTACTGCCCAGCCCTTGGCTGATAATTTGATATGCCTTGGCCCTGTTTATGCGGTGGGTTCATAAGGACAACACGATGGTCCGGGGGGTGTTTTAATTTTATTTGCACAAAAATGCGCGTCAATATTACCAAAAAAAATATATACATTTAGAGAAGGCGACGTTGCCTCGTGTCCAATGTTGTTTATTTTTTCTTTTCCTGGCTCTGTGGCCAAAGCAAATAAAATTCATTATGAATTTCTAATTATATTGCCAGCCAAAGGCAACCCTCAACAGAAAAAAGCCAAAAGTTGCCTCAAAAAGTTTACATTTTTTGGAATACCCCTCAAAAAAAAGAATGTCAAGCCGCACATTTGACAATGATGAATTCGCTTTTTGGCCAGCAACCCCCACAAGGAAGGCCCTTTAAAAAAATGCCTTAGATAAACTGATTAGGCACATCAATTGGGCAGAAGCACTCATCTATCCCGGAAGAGCAGGAAAACCTTTGCCTAATGGCAATTGTTTTGTGAAAATTGAATCTTCCCTTTGTACTTCCGGGCATTGCATTGTCTGCCCGGTTACAACAGGGAACTTAACCGAAAAAGCGGCGGCTGTCTAATTAGAAATATGAAAATAAGGTGAATGTTTCGCGGTTTTCTGCACCTGCTGCCAGAGAGATAATGAGGCTGGAAGGCTGAAGGTGAAACCGAAATGGGCCCAGAGGGGTTGGTGTTGTTCTCTTCTCCAAATTGGAAAAGGTATTTGCTTAAATTATTATTGGACTTAATTACAGCCAAGTTGAGCTCAAAGAATGCGAAATAATGGAAACCAATTTCAAGTTTTGCAAGAGTAACTGGAAGGGGAGTAAATAAAAATGTGTCCAGCTTAAGGTGTTTAAATGAATGAAAGGCTATATAAGTCGGAGTGGAATTAGGCAAGTACTTGGGAATATTTACAATTGTTTTGGAAAAGGCTTTAATTGACTTCAATAGAGGTGGGTTGGTAACATAATTGAGGTTTTATAAAGTATTACTTCTATAGGTGGTATGGCTTTAACTTTGGAGGTCTTATATATTAACAATAAACCTAGATAATTATAGATACTATACATGAATAACCTAATTATAAATACTTCTATCCTTGTAACAATTTCATACTTTATTTTATTAGCAAAAAGTCTTCCCTAAATACTGTTTATATTATTCATAAAATACTTCTAGTCCCCCAAACTATTAAAGTTTATTAAAGACCACAATGAAAGTCAAACATAAAGCTCATAAATGTAATACAATCTTCTCCATATAACGCCTTAATTCACACATTAAGCTATTTGGCATTGATTTCTATTTGCCCAGCAATGATTGACTGATTGATGATATCGAAACTAGCCAAACCCAAAAAGACCAAAACAAATAACACAACACAAGGCTGATACTGAGACTCAGACCGAGACTGAGAGATTTGAGATTAAAATGGGGATTTGTGGCTAATAGACAGTGGACATCGTTTATATATATATAAACATGGAATATCTGGGCTTGGACTCATTTTATCTGGGGCACAATGGGAGTATTATTAGAAGGGGAGAGTGTCAGCAAACAATGGAATGATGATGCCCATGATGACGATGATGATGATGATGAGCCCGGCCTCTGATATAAATCAAACAACAATGAGAGACACAGATATAGATATGGTTCTGCGGATAACATATACCAACACACACTCGAAACTGAAGGACATTCGAGGATAATGCGCCGCCGCCTCTCTCTCTCTCTCTCTCTCTCTCTCTAAACACGAACACGCCCCTCGATTTTCCGGGGGGTTTTTCATTGTCAACGCTAAGCAGCGTGTGACTGCCTGTCATTAGCTCGGGTCCCATTTCGACTTTTACTCCGGGAACATCTTTCAGTGCTTTGTTTGGGGTATTTAATGCTTCAATTGATTCCTGATTTAAGTGCCTCCCCGTGGACCCAAAGACAGCTGCCGAAGAGTTTGCTGCCCAGCAGGTTGTCCTCCATCTCGCAGAGTCTTACAGATCCATTCCCGGGTTCAGGCTAATTGAAAGTCTTTCACCTTCATCAACCGTCTAATGATGACGGTGCGCAAAAAAAGATGAAGTGAATCATGAAAAGCGGTAGCGGAGAATGTAAACTCCAGGTAATAGTATTTACATCTATTAGGTTTAAAAGAAATGTATGTATTTTGAAATGCAGATACATTTGATTTGAATTATGACCATAATAAATAATCTGTGGGAAGTGGGAAATGTTACCAATGAATACTTTAATAAATAAGCTTGAACTTTTACTCCAATTAATTATTAAATTCAAGCAATTAAATTCTGCAATAAGACCTTTTATTAGTGGTAAACATTATACACAAATCGTTTCTATTACCAATATATTTTTCACTAAAGATAACCTTATAGTACTCAAAAGTAACTTAAATTCTCCAGAATACAAAAAACACTCTCTCTACAAACTCCCATTAAATAAAAACACCTAGAGACCCCTTTAAGGTTGAGTCATACCTTATTTCATGGAACTATATATGTAATCGTCAAAAAATAAAAGCGTAAACAAAAGCAAAAACGCAAAACATTGACAGGAACTACACACGTAATGCCTTGAAACCTGATAATGGCATCATCGCCGGAACATTCTGAGATATGCCAAGTTGAGCAGCTGAGCTGAAAAGCTCTCGAATGAGATTTCAACGAGGCAGTTGCAAAATATCAACCATAAAGTCAGGACGTATATTAACTCGTACCAATGAGGTTTATTTTATTTTATTTACTGGGTCTGCTTAGCGTGATGAGCTTGACCCAGGGTGCCAGTAACCTCATTTGTTACTATGATTCAACCTCGTATTTGCGTAAAGGATTGGCCAAACTACAATCCTCGGATCTGGAATTAGCCCTTCAGTTTTGCACTCATTTGGTTTATGGCTACGCAGGACTAAAGGCTGGCACTCATGAGCTATTCAGCCTGAATGTGGATCTGGACATGTTCCATTACTATGAGATAACTGATCTGCACAAGAAGTTCCCCCAGCTGAAGATCCTGCTGAGTGTGGGAGGTGATCATGATCTGGACGAAGCTCATCCCAATAAATATATAGAACTTTTGGAGGCAAATCGAACTCAACAGCAGAATTTCATAGATAGCAGCATGATTTTGCTAAAACGAAATGGATTCGATGGCCTCGACTTGGCCTTCCAACTGCCCCGGAATAAGCCCAGGAAGGTGCACGGTGCCATTGGTGGTTATTGGAAACAATTCAAGAAACTATTCACCGGTGACTTTGTGGTGGATCCCCTGGCAGAGCATCACAAGTCACAATTCACGGATTTGGTGATGAATCTAAAGAATGCCTTTCGCAGTGCCAATCTCATGTTGAGTCTGACTGTCTTGCCAAATGTTAACTCCACTTGTAAGTATTAATAATTTGCAAAACTATCTTCTTATTAAATCAAATTAAATTACATTTCCAGGGTACTTTGATGTCCCTAAACTATATCCGCACTTCGACTATATAAATCTGGCTGCCTTTGATTTCCTCACACCACTTCGAAATCCCGAGGAGGCGGACTTTACAGCTCCAATCTTCCTGCAGGACGAACAGAATCGATTGCCCCACTTGAATATCGATTATCAGGTTAATTATTGGCTTCAAAATCATTGTCCCGCTCAAAAGTTGAACTTGGGCATTGCCAGTTATGGACGAGCTTGGAAACTGACCAAGGACTCTGGTCTGAGTGGTCTTCCTGTGGTTCATGATACCTATGGTCCTGCTCCCGAAGGAGTCCTAATTAATAGTGTTGAAGGATTACTGAGTTGGCCAGAGATTTGCTCAAAATTAGCCCAGAACTCTTCGGCTCAATATAGAGGAGAAATGGCACCGCTTCGCAAGGTCACCGATCTTACCCAGAAATATGGAAACTATGCCCTCCGTCCGGCAGATGACAATGGAGATCATGGTGTGTGGCTGAGCTACGATGATCCTGATTTTGCAGGAATAAAAGCAACCTATGCCAAGGGCAAAGGACTCGGTGGAATTGCTATATTCGATCTGAGTTGTGACGATTTCCGGGGATTCTGCACTGGCCAGAAATTCCCAATTGTGCGATCAATTAAATACTTTATGGCCTAGAATATATTTGTTTTTAACTAGATCAATAGTTGTATATTTAAATTTAAAGTTTAAATATGAAAAGAAAATAAAATTATGAAAATAAATATGACAATTATGAAGAGTTTGTATTGAATATTAGTTTAATTAATAGTAAGTAAGAAGAAAAAGGAAATACATATCAATAATTAGCAAAATTCCCTCCTTTAAATTGTAAGAATTATTTTTGGTGTATTTATTCAACAAAAACAGAATGATTTCAAACATTTTAATTGTCATTTTCTATGCAGTTTAGTTACTCAAATAATTCTTAAGTTATACCAAAAATAACCCTGTAAAATAGTACGTTTACTTAAATACTTTATATATTAATCGGGCTTTTCCTCTACTTGTCATTCTTTATATTCAATTGCAAAATTTTGAATTCTAATCAGCAAGCGTGTTTCAATGTTGTGAGATTATTCGCCTTTTTTTTGTTATTTTTTAAGTGACCTCCCAGACTTGACCCTGCGGCGCGACAACTACGACATCGTTCGTCATTAATTTGTGAGTACACAAATTAAGTCATTGCGAGAATAAAATATATATAAACTGAACAGAAAGTAAGCTTGGTTTTAGCTCGAGAAGAGGGATGGAGATCGGTTTAAAGCTCAGAAAAACAAGCTTTTGTCGTCGTTATTGGTTTCGGTTTCCATTTCAATTTCAGCTTCAGCTTCAGTTCGATTTCATTTGATCTGCGTTGCGGTTGTGTTTATTGAGAGTTTTGTAGTATAGTTCATATCTGTATATATATTTATTTATATATATAAGTTGGGGATCACCATGAAGGCTTGGATCTGGTTTACTTTTGTCGCGTGTCTCTTTGCGGCTAGCACAGAAGCTGCCTCCAACTTGGTTTGCTACTACGACTCTTCAAGTTACACGAGAGAAGGTAGGTCACAGGGAGTCGAAGTTATTTAATACTTTGATCAAAAAAGGTGTTAAAAACAACAGGTGTTAAGGTAGAAACACCTATGAGTATAGGGAATCAACAACAGAAACCATAGGTCTAGTTTTGGCTTACAAATACTGAGGAACTTTAAAGTAAGATTTAAAAACAAAACCAAAAACAGTCCCAGAATACTCAATTATATTTTGTATTTTTTTCTAAATAGATACGTTATCAATATTCTAATTTTAAATAAATTAATATTTATAAAAGACATATTTATTTATATTATTGCAAAGTATTTGTTATTTACCAAGAAGTATTAAAAAGTCTCATCAATACAGAAATACCTCTTTAGAAACGTAATTTATATAGCACCATTTAGAGCGTCTATTTATACATTTATTTAAAAATTATATTTATTTTTCAAGAATATTTTCTTGCTTTGCTACACAAAACTTCCGCTTTGTTATTTATTTAAAAGAAAAAATATCTCAGTATACTGTAACAGAACCTACGAGTTCAAAGGTTCTCACTTATATACAGTTTTAATTAAATATTTAACCCATTTTCCACAGAAACTCATTCAAAGATTAATGCTTGCTATAAAACAATAAGAACAACAATTCTAATTGCTTTGAGTTCATTAAAAAAATAACTTGATTATAGAATAATTAACGATTCGTTTATTTGTTTTAGTAATTGCTTTAAGCTTAATCAAATATGTGGAAAGACCTTACTTAACCAGACAAGTGAAAGGCATTTAAATAGTATTTTTTATTTGGAAGAAAGCCATACAAACTCTAGTTTAAATAATTATATTTATTATACTTCTCCAAAGCTTGCGTTTAAATTATTATTTCAAACACTAGCACAACCCTGTCGTTTAGCATGTGCCAAATTTACTAAATTTACAAACGAAACAAAAAATAGCCCCCTCAAAAACATGATTAGCATAGTTACATAATCATTTGAGTGTTCAAAACAAAAACTCGGACTTAATTTAATTCAGTTCGCAGTCCGAGGCTTATCTTTAGAAGAGAGAGAGAGAGAATAAAACAAAGAGAACCGAGTCAAAGCTACTATAAGCTAAAGCTAGTTCTAATATAAATCGAGAGACGGGAGGTCAGTGGCTTATCGGACAAGTTTTTCAAACAAACAAATAAATACAAAGAGAATCAAAGCTTCTCTCTCTCTCCCATTAAAACTTCTCTTTAGACAGATAAAGCAGAGCCTCTCTTTTTTTAATCTGATTAACAAGCTAATTAGATCGAGATTTAACTTACCAAATCAGCAATTATGGAATGACCCACCATAAATATGGCAATTAGTTGATTATTTTGATTATCTCCGATCTGGACTTAGATGAATTAACACAAATCTGTACCGATCCCACACATTTGAAATGAAAACTAAAGCGTTCAACACACAGCGAGTTTAACACGACAACTGGCATCAAGCGGCGAACCGAGCAAGTGCCAAGCAGAGCTTCAAGTGACTCAGCAGAGCTGCACAGTGACACAAAAGCTAAGATTTTAGTTGGGAATAAAATATTTAGGCAGAAATTTGTGTATAAATATTTTTAATAAAGAATATGAGGAATATTTGCAAGCTTTATGACTTAAAGGAAAAAGGAAATTATATTATTTAAGTCTTTAAATTAAATCTAGAACTTAGGAAATATATATACCGTCTTACAAATATGTAAAAATAATAATTATATACTTCACTTTGGTATAGAAAAATTACGGCAATTTTATAGCTTTTAAAATATTTATAAACACTTTTTAGTTAGAAAATTATTTGAATTATATTTTAAAAATTCAGATATAAATATATATTTAAAACTAAAGAAATTTCTGATACTATATAGTTTATAAATTATTTTTAAACAATTTTTCTCCACCCCATCCCACTGTGCCCCGCACCCAAGTCGATACACATTAAACCGTTCGCTGGCCTCACATTGCTGGCGTTCAATTAAGCCACTGAAGTCAGTGGAGACAGCGGGAGAGGATGATCCGTTGATCTCTGATCTCTCCAGTAGTTCCATGGAGAGAGTGTGATATCTCCCATAGCTGATAGTGCTCTCTGGATCTCATATTATTATATATTTGTCACTCAATTGCAGCTCATCGTTACACTCGAGTATATTGAAATAATGAACGCACTTTGTGCATATTCCAGGTCTGGGAAAGCTGCTCAATCCGGATCTGGAGATTGGAGTGCAGTTCTGCACTCACTTGGTGTATGGTTATGCAGGAATCCGTGGTGAAAACTATCAAGCACACAGTCTAAATGAAAACCTGGACATATACAAGCATCAGTTCTCCGAGGTGACAGCCCTGAAGAGGAAGTATCAACACCTGAAGGTTTTGCTCAGCATTGGAGGTGATCATGATATCGATGTGGAGCATCCAAATAAATATATCGAACTGCTGGAGGGTGAGAAAGTACGCCAGACAGCATTTATACGATCTGCTTATGACCTGGTCAAGAACTACGGCTTTGATGGTCTGGATTTGGCCTATCAATTCCCCAAGAACAAACCCAGGAAGGTTCATGGTGAACTGGGTTCTGCCTGGAAGAGTATCAAGAAGCTATTCACCGGTGATTTCATTGTGGATCCTAATGCCGCTTTGCATAAGGAGCAGTTCACAGCTTTTGTTCGGGATGTCAAGGATTCCCTGAGGGCCGATGGCTTCCTGCTTAGTTTGACTGTCCTGCCCAATGTTAACTCTACTTGTAGGTATTAATTATTTGTACTTAAATATTTTTTATTAACACTTTAATACTCTTGACATCAGGGTACTTTGACATTCCCGCCTTGAATGGCCTGGTGGACTTTGTGAATCTGGCAGCCTTTGATTTCCTGACACCTGCCCGTAATCCTGATGAGGCGGACTATACAGCACCCATTTATCCTCCCACTTCCAAGGATCGTCTGGGACATTATAATGCAGATTTCCAAGTGAATTATTGGGTTAAACAGGGTTTCCCTTCGAGCAAAATCAACCTGGGAGTGTCCACCTATGGCAATGCATGGAAATTGAGTCATGATTCTGGACTTGAGGGTCTGCCAGTGGTGCCCCACACCGAAGGACCTGCCCCGGAAGGAACACAGTCTCAGAAGCCAGGATTACTGAGTTATGCCGAGATCTGTGGCAAGTTGAGCAATCCTCAGAATCAGTATCTTAAGGGTAATGATTCACCGCTGAGAAGGATTACGGATCCGACCAAGAAATTTGGTACCATTGCCTATCGTCCGTTGATGGACAGATTACGGAGGGTATATGGGTGAGCTACGATGATCCTGATACGGCATCCAATAAGGCGGCCTATGCCAGATCCTTAAATCTAGGAGGCGTGGCACTCTTTGATTTGAGTTATGATGATTTCCGTGGACAGTGCACCAATGATAGGTATCCCATCCTAAGGGCAGTGAAATATCGTTTGTAGATCTAAGATTTACGATTTATATATGGAATGTTATAACAAATAAAATATGATTCATTAAATATATTGAGAATTAATGCCAGTTTTTATCTCTTGTTTTAAGTAAAGATGTGAGTACATTTTCAATTTGAAATTGAACATTAAATAATACATTGTTGATTACTAAATTTTTTCTTAACATTTCTTAGCTTAACTTTATTTGCTGAATGATTAATCTCTTGGTATACATACAGCTCTTGTTAATACCTTTATTTATTTTGCACTTATTTGTGAAGTGCTTAACTTTAATGGGACCTTGAAATCGCATCATAAATAATCCCACCTTAAATATCGTAAAATCCCACGTAAACCCTTAATCATTTCGAAACAAACAAATATATATATTTGGAGCATGACTTGACTAGTAACGACCTTGTTAATTCCTCAACACCTTTGGGGAATCATACAAGTTGCAGACTTATCCCTCGGAAGCTACCGGAGATCTTTGCGTATTTAAACTATGACTACTATACTTTACTATATAGGTATTATCTCTCATAAAACATAGGCAGATAAGCTGGTATTATATTTTCCTTTTCTTAGTGTAAATTACCGAGACGAGAAGTGATCTCATTGAACCCGGTGTCAGCTGTCGCTCGAGACAAACAATTTTTGTTGAATTGTTTTCGTTGATAATAAGTCCCACGAACTGCGTTTGTTATTGTTCGTCCGGGGTTTTTGCTTCGTTTCTGGGGAATCGTATGGAGGCGACTCAACAAAAAGCTCACAGTGCCATTTCCATTTCAATTTCTAGTGCCCAGTGCCAGTGCTTAGTGCTCATTGTCATTTACGAATTCAGTTTGGTTTCGCCTCTCGCCGGCGACGGAGTGTTCCAATTATAACCTTCGAGTTTTTATATTTTGTTTATACAAAATCTATAGTATTTTTCTCTCTCTAAAATGACAAACTCTCTGTGGCTCAGCCTCGGTCTGAGCTTAGCTATTTTGGCTCAATTCCAAGTAAGCGCAGCTCCTAATCTGATCTGTTTCTATGACTCGCAGGGCTTTCAGCGGCAGGGTGAGTTTCTATTCTATTTCTAGGAAAATATAATTAAATTTATTATAATTTCGAACGATTCCCCAGGCCTGGCTCAGTTCTCCATGACTGACATGGAGCTGGCTTTGCAATTCTGCACTCATTTGGTCTATGGCTATGCCGGTGTCAATGCCGATAATTATGAGGTGCAAAGTATAAACCGACGACTTGATTTGGAGCAACGTCACCTGGCCCAGGTGTCCAGTTTGAAGGAACGCTATCCCCACATCAAGTTCCTGCTGAGTGTGGGTGGTGATGCGGACTTGAATGAGGGAAATCAGTATATAAAGCTCTTGGAGTCGGGACAACAGGGTCACAAGCGCTTCATTGAATCTGCTCGGGATTTGGTCAGACGTTACAATTTCGATGGCCTGGACTTGGCCCTGCAGCTGCCCAGGAATAAGCCACGCAAGGTGCATGGTGATGTAGGTTCAGCCTGGAAGAGTTTCAAGAAGTTCTTCACAGGGGATTTCATTGTGGACACCGATTCGGAGACGCATAAGGGTCAGATTACCGCCTTGGTCAAGGATCTAAGTGCTGCTCTCAAGCAAAATGATTTGCTGTTGAGTCTTACTGTTTTGCCCAATGTGAACTCGAGCTGTAAGTTGGAATATGACTACTATTAACTTTAAGTTATACCACTAACTTGCTTAGAAAGGTAATTAATACTGCCTTACAGAATCATCGTTCAAAACACCTGATAAAACATCTTACTCTTATTGATATTTACCTTGTAATTGCATCATTTTCTTATACCCCACAAAGTCTGTTTTATTGTTAACTCAACTATAAACTATATTTCTCTTTTAGGGTACTACGATGCCCCTTCGATTGCCCCAAGTCTGGATTTCATTAACCTTGGAGCCTTTGACTTCTTGACCCCCCAACGTAATCCCGAGGAGGCTGACTTTACAGCTCCACTATACGAAGCCTTTGGCCAGAATCGTTTGGGTCACTACAATGTCAACTTCCAGTTGGAACACTGGCTGCTCCAGAGAGTGCCAGCTCATAAGCTCAACATTGGCATAGCCACCTATGGACGATCCTGGAAGATGACCAAGGATTCTGGAGACTCGGGAGCACCTGTGGTTGCTGCCACCGATGGACCAGCTCCGGCAGGAGCCCAGAGCAAGAAGGAGGGTCTCCTCAATTGGGTCGAAATATGTCAACTGATGCCCAATCCGAGTAACACCAATGCCAGAGGACCCAGTGCACCGGTGAAGAGGGTCCTGGATCCTACGAAGCGTTACGGAAGCTATGCCTTCCGTCCTGCCGATGATAACGGGGATCATGGCCTGTGGATTAGCTACGATGATCCGGATTCTGCTTCCAGCAAGGCTCAGTATGCCAGGGTCAAGAATCTGGGTGGTGTGGCTCTGTTCGACTTGACCCAAGATGATTTCCGTGGTCAATGCACCAATGATCGCTTCCCCATGCTGCGTGCCATCAAATTCCGACTTCTGTAGGAGATGGAGAGTAATTATATTATATAATAAATGTATGATTCATCACCAGCACGCAAATGTCACAAGAAATATATTAGGAGCGCGGCAGGGTACCACAAATGTCAACCGTTTGGCGGCCTTAGGCCGGCCTCCTTCTGTGTCTGTCCCTTTTTGCAAATTAATTACAAAGTTGTAAACTAAAATGCGCCGCAAATTAATTCGATGGGGAAACTCCACCAAGGAGGAGGGAAATTGAAGGGAAAGAGGTAATGTACAGAGAGAAATGGAGTAAAGAAAATATATTCAAGAAGGAAGGAAGGTAATTTTTAAAGGTGAGTAATGGGAAAGGTAAGTAACGATTAGAAGGCTTTTCTCTTAATGAATATTGTTTATATACAGAAACATTGTGAAGCTTACTTAATGCTAAGGAAAGCATTTAAATTCTTCACATTTTTCCGGATTGATTTTTTCCTAATTTAAAAAAAGCTTATATATAAAGCGCACTTTGAAATTTATATAAAAGGTGTTTAAAAACTTGTAAAACACTTTATTATTGCTGCTTTCTAAACAGGATTAATCCTCTAACTAATCTTGAAGATTAAATTTCATAAACAATAACTACTAGTGAAAAATATATCAATATTTCCCCACATTTTCCTAAGTAAAAGTTTGCTAATTTAAAAATTTCTACAGAAACTAGTTTGTAATGAAAACAGCTCACTTTGAACTTTCATAAAAATGTCTCTAAAAGTATGACAATATACATATAAGTTAAATAGAGTTAATGTTAATATCAAGAGTATAAGTTCTAATGAAAATCTTTGATTCAATGTTTCTTGATCAACAATTTTCCGGGAAATCCCCTTTTATATATTTTATATATTTATTTACCATATATTTCCTATATTTCCCTCGGTGTATCTGTTGCCATCTCACTGGTTTAATTGCCCCTTTTGCATTGAATTGTTTGGCGCCCACGTCTGGGCGAATCGAGCTCTTTATCATCTCGGACCCATCTTGGTCAAATGGCATTTTGCGGTGGTTTTTATTTAGTTTTTTTAGCTGTGCTCAGATTTACAGATTTCGCCACAGAGAAGGCGAGCTGCCGGCGAGTTGGAACTGCTACTGGTGACTCCTTTGGCTTTTGTGTAATTGGCGCTACATACGCGACCAGATCGCTGGACTCCAGTCTGATCAACGATCCATATGCGTACTCCGCAATGGTTGCACTTGGTCTCCATCCTCCTGCTCCCCCCAGCTCCAGCTGGAGCCAGTGTGTCCTCCTCCTGCTCCTCCTCCTGCTCCACTGTTTACAGAATTGCTGACATACCACCATGCAAAAGGTTGCCCCACTACAGTGAACTGTGGCCACAAGGAAATCGGTGGCTGGGGGTTTGGTTGGGGGATGGATGCGGTTCGGGGGTGTCTGAAGCGACTGCCTCGACTGGCGACGACAACGACACGATGTAAGACAACTAAATTAAGTTATTGTTTCTTGGGTAACAATGAGATGGAGTCAATGACTTATAGATACTCTAATATTGGGAGATTTAAAAAGGGAGGATTCTGGAATTAAAGATTTGAGTTATTTTGTTATTTAAATTATTTTTAAACACATACACAAATTTGTAAGGTAAAAATACAAAACTTCCTGGTCAATTGCATATATTTAAAGACTTTTCTAAAATATTAATTAACGTCTTATTATAAAATAGATTAAATCTACACATTATTAAAAGAAAACTTTCAAAAGTCCTGTTCTATCTTAAAATGGGTTTAATAACTCAATTTTACCCAACGTTTTTTAAGAAATTGTATTTAACTTTTAGCAAAATATTAGTATTCATAATTTATAGGTAATCTTAAAGTTTCAAATATTTCCAACTTATGCAAGATTTTAATCTCTTTAAACCAAACAGTCCTCTTGTTATTTAATTCTGAATCAATGCAAAAAAATAAATCCCATTAAAACTCAACTAACTAAAAGACTTTGAGTACCTTAAAGAACTCTCTTTATATCTATCTAAAAATCTCTCTGGTTAACCTGGGGAATTTCTTACTTATGAATATGCTCCCACACTTACCCTGGACCACTGCTAACCATATTCAACAAAACCCTTACAGCCAGCTGGAGTCCTAGTTGCTATCTAGTCCCTCTTATCTGGGGAATCGTGATCTTATTAAGCCGGCCTATACACTCGGAAATTATTTGCAATTGGCGCAATGCCTTATTGGAATGCAAAATATGCCATTAGTGGCAGAAGTCGAGACTTGGCCAAAGCCGAAGCCAAAAACCAAAGCCAAAGCTTTCCCAGACTTGAGAGTTAAGGGCCCAAAGGGCATGGATTTTGACTGAGGATGGGACAGGGACAGAGGATGTCAAGGAGAAGGAAAGGAGGTGGTCTCTGGTTAAGAGCATGCCACTAGCATAGCGTACAAGTTGTAAACACGGCATTGTTTTTGGTCACCGTTCCTTAATATATACCCCAAAAAACCAGAACCTTAAGTGCACTTGGGAAAATTATACTTCAACATACTATCAAGTTATAAAATTTATATACATTTAAAATTAATCTAGGAACTTGTAAGATTGTATAAAAAAATAAATTATATTTGATAGTATTTCTATATTTTGTAGAAAAATTTAGGTCTTGGAACCATTATAGAAGTTTTTACACGAAATAATTCGCTTTTAAAATTACTTAAAATGGTGGATTAAAAGATAGTTTACTTAATATATTGAAATTACGTAAACTATCTTTTTATCCACCATTTTCTTTAATATTTGTAGTATTTTAAATTAAGAACAATTTTTTTTCTTACCCTGCAAATCTTCACTGATCGTGTTCAGGCTAGTCTCCGAGGCACAGAAGCCTGGCTTTTTGGCTTGTCGCCTCATCTAATTAAGGAGCATTTGGTCCATGGCGGCGTCTACAAGATCTGTTCATGATTATTGCCCCCGGGGGCCATATCGTTGCCCCCCTCCGAGGGGGGAGGGAGCACCCTGCGAATGACAAATATGTGCTGCCTGCCTGGCACCGGACTTCTGTTGTCTTCCAAGGAAGCAGCCAAGGAGCTCCTTAAATAAAGATATTTTCGCCCTCATTACGCGCCGTGTCCTTTTGTTTATTTGGCTTTTAGTTTTTTTTTGTATTTGGTTTATTGTTTTTTTGTTTTGTATTTTTTTGGTGGCCGATGAAGTGTCGCTGATTGCGCGTTGCATTGTTTTGGCCAGGTCGAAACGGTGATGATGCGATGGCGATAAGGCAATGCATGTGGACTGGTCAGGGATTTTTGGGTTTGTTCGTGCCGATATGATAAGCTGGCCAGAGACTTTAGCTCGATAAGGATTTCCTTGGAAAAGTTGCCATAGTTTTTTTATTCTTATTCCCTGGCTTAGAATGAGTAAGTATATCAGGGTTTTATTCCCTGTGAATATCCCCCACAATGAACCTTATTTTACTGCAGGCTATTTCCAGGACCTGCTCCTCTTTCGCTTTGCTCTTCTCTCACATTGTTAACGCTTTTGCTTGCCCAGAGTTTGCATTTTTATTGCTTTGTTAATTTTAAATAAGCCACGCGACTTTATGTCTGTGTATATATGTATATATTTGAGGCCACAAGTTAAGGTATAACTTTTGCTGGAATTGAGCTGTCTTCTCAGCCAACAGCTTGTCCAGAGGATCACTCTCATCCAATTGTCAGCGGGTTGTCAACCAAAATGATTTACAGATGATGATCTCTGGACCTAACCAGGTTCAAGAGGCGCTCCAGCATCTCGAAGGTAAAGGTATCTTTGTGGGAGAAGTTGGTAATATGATGCCTTGGAGTTAAGATGGGGAACTCTAAATGCTCTTACATAGTATAATTAACTAAATAAGTAATTAAAAATAAATCTACTGAAAGATATAAGACCTTGTGGTGTAAAAAATATTTGCAAGTAATTTTTATTAATCTCAGTAATTTCTTATTAATTTGAAATCGTATACAACCAAAGTTTAAAGATCTTTATAAGGATGGGTATCAAAAAATTCTTAACAACCAATTAGAAATTACCAACTTATCCCCAAAAATAACCAACCAAAATAACTCCTTATAGAGTATGAGGAATATATACTCAATAAGGAGTTAACTCTGCATTATTTTATAGATTTTTAACGCTCAGATCGTGAATTCCTTTGACCACAATTATTATGAATACAAAACACACAAAAAAAGCGAAAGAAATGCGAAAACAAGTCTTTAACATTTCTGTTCTCCTCTGTTTTTATTCATAAACAAGCGACAATAAAAATGTGCCATAACAAGCTAAGGTTATTCTTGTTTAACGAAATAAACAACTCATAAAATTATGCTACACAAAAAAGGCTACAACAACAGAAACAACGAAGAAAAGTTTTTGTTTATATTTTCTGTAAATTTTTGTTCGCACCAATTAAATTCAATTAGCTGTCAGCAGCAGCAAAAGCGACCATATATATAGTACATATAGTACAATGTGATAGATAACCCCGAACGCCACCTACTAAATCCATGGATCTGCGTGTGTCTGCGGCTAGCTGTTAGCGCCACTGCCTCATAAAAGGTTAGTTTAAACAAATAAACACGTGGAATTTAATGAAGAAACGTGTGTGGCTCTATGGATTATATGGCCCTGGCTGGCTCTATGGCTAAAGTGAGTAAAAGAGATCGAAAATTTAGGGGGAACTGATATGTTAATGCCATAAGTGGTGATTATATATATATTATATAAGAAATATAAGGATTTTAAGATGTATTTTAAGTGAAATAGCAATTTTTTAAATCAAAAAATTTATTAGATTGAACAAGAAATCAGAAATCCATATAGAAATCCATGCAGTTTGCAATTAAATTATACGATCAAATCGGTAATCTATCATAGCTAAGCTTAAAATATTTGTATTTTTTAATCATAAATTATCGATACTTATATATGTCAATTTTTTTGGCAAATTAAATTCATCAAAGTTTCATAACTAAGCTAAAATTCATTAATTTAA